GTCATTGGGGTCATGGCGGCCGTCGAGCCTCGCATGTGGCTCGAATAGGCATACGGGAGCGGTACGAGCAGTCAGAAAGAGTTTTGAAGGCTGTCGGGTGCTTGGAGCCGTCAATCGAGAACTCCTCACCCCCCCCTTCTCCTTTCCTAGTCAGCGTCCGTGGGGTAACATGAAGCCCCCAAAGTCTAAAGTCAACCAGCGCGACCATGACGGTGAGCGGGACGGCGTTGCCAATGATGAAGTATTGTAGGAGCGTACTTGTAGGACTGGCATTCGATCAGTCTGCAACTCGCCGGGCCGTCAGCGATGCCGATCTCAAGAATGCCATGTCAGCCGTGTACAGCAGAGATTGTCTATCGACGCCGTTACGCACACTTGAAACACCCGCAACGTACCCCTCCAGCCATCGTCCTCGACCATATTGCCAAGCCCGTGATGTGGTGTGTCCTCGAGGTCTTCGCGCTCGCATCGAGATGATTGAATGAGGATCACGACTCAGCACGAAGCGTGGAGACGATGGGCCTCGGCAACAGAACCAATCGTGCTGCTGCTGCTCAAGTCTTGTCGTCGTCTAAGTACCGGCTCAGCGGGTCATTTCCACGATCCCCCGCACAAGCTACACGGACGGAAAGCGCATAAGCAAGCAAACCTTCGCCGAGCTAAGAGCGTAGAGCTTAAGCCCGCAGCCGTCCGAGAGCGCAGCGGCGCCTGGTTGGCGCGACAGTCCGGCGGCGCGGCATCACCCTCGCCGTATCACCAGTCAACCGTTTTCTTGCGTGCGCCGTGCAGTGCACCGAGTGCTGTGCTGGACCGCGTCCGGTCGTGGGTGTGTGCATGTTCTGGTCTGTCGCTGCACACACCGGCATCTCGCCTTACCTGATTAGTGGGCGTTAGTGATTATCCTCTGTACCGAGAGTTGGGGACCATCAGCATCTGAATACCAGCCCGCTGGTCAGCCTGGGAATAAACAGCTCACCCTCCATGCCCCCCCCCGACAGCCAGGCAATATCGAGGCCATCCCTTCATCTGCAGTTCCCACCAGTCAGCGTCCAGAGGTGACCTGTTGCCGCCCGTCCAACCCTCACCGCAAAACCCAATGCCCGGATCCCCAATGGGGATCATGACATGTGCCAAACAGCGCAACCCCCCCCGCGACACGTTGTTCCGCGCCCAAAACCCCACACCCTCCCCTCCTACTCCTTTGCTACCTTGCGATGCGCAGGTGATCTGCTTCCCTGCACTTGTGCTGCGCTTCCTGCTGCACCCAGTGGCATGGCTCGCAGGGGCACATGTCGCAGCCAAACGCACGAGGCACACGCAAACATGGACGCAGGATTGCGGCGCGGGGGGGTACTTCCATTCAAGCATGCGGAAACGAAAGAGTCATCAAGACGGTGAAGGGTGAAGGGTGAGGGGTGAGGGTCAGAGAGGGGGGGCAGGATGCAAATGGCGGTCTCGTCGAAACCCCAGCATGGGTAAAGAAACGGCAACAGATCGCCAGTCTCTCTGTCAGGCCGCCAGGGTGCGGAACACGCCCCTAGCAAACCAGAGAAGGGCATTGGTAACCGGTTTGTTGCTCCATGTCCATCCCCATCCCATCCGTCGGCTTCGACGAGGCGGCGTGAGATGTACTTGACGCCCAAGTACCTATGTTGCGATGTGTACTTCCGTTCCAAGTCTTTCGTTTGATGCTTGGGATGGATGAGCCTGGAGACGTGCCATTCGCCCTTCCCACTCACTGCTGGCGCGCCCCCAACTTCGATAAACCCGGCAGGCAGGCCGCCCGGGCATAAAACGGCAAAGTTTCTGACAGCCTGACCCGGCGGCCGTCACGTCGACGTCTGCACACCACATGTGGCTCTGTTCCTTGTCCACCCGAGACATGGCGTTGGCAATCACGATAACGAGCCTTCCTGTGCGTGGCGAGAGCAACAGACTGCCTTTCCTCCACCCAGTAATAGGATGAGGAACAAAGCCTCCCGTCTCTGAGCTAGAGGGACGCGGACGGTCTGGAGTCTTGCCGCGAAGCTGTCGCACTGAATCCGATAGGTAAAGATGCCGAGCCATGTCGCCGGCGTCCACGGCCTCTCTCGGCGCAGCACCACAGACGCCTGTGGCTGATGCCCTAGCTGACGATAGATGAACCCAACAGCTGAGCCATGGCAACACGACATAGTTGCGAGCCCAGCAACGGTCCTTCAAGTCGTCCGATGTGGATATAGTTCCTACTCCGCGGCACAATGGTCCACGCCTACCGCCCACTCAGCCCACTGGGCTCACGTCCGTCCGCCAAACCAAATTTACGACTACGCACCCTGGCCGATCAACAAAGAGGCCGCGTGACCCAGCCGTGCCGTCCGAATCCGGTGGGTTGCGCTGACGCGACCACTGTAGGATGGCAGCCCGCCAGCATTACCTGCCACCCCTCTTCCCAAGTCCGCCGCCAGCCTCGTACGTTGTTGTCGGTGGGCTGCGGGCTGCGAGCGATGGGTGCTCGGTGGACAGCCGAGAATAGCAGTCTCGGGGGAGATAATTCGTTCGGGGGGACTGGTAGGGCCGCGGACGGCTTGCGCGGACGGGGCTGTTGATCCGCTGTAAGGCAAACTCAATATGGCGCCATGGATGGCTACTCGAAAGGAGCCTGGTACTGCAGGGAGCTACCATTCCGATACAGAACAATGCCTTTGTTCAAGCGCCAAATGACCACAGACCGTACACCGACGTGAAACACGCGTGCCATCATTACCTGTCAGATACGGGATTGTGAGAGAGGGGGAGCTCTTGTCAGCATGGATACATACCGTACATGCGGGCGATCAACAGCCCTCCCTCCAGTGACGCATCTTCTCCTCCCGTGGTGGGGACGGGACAGCACAGCACACATGGCCATCTCGAGCGCCCTGATGCGATACGACGCCTTGATGCGATGCAACCCCCCTTTGGCATGCCCCCGCACGGAAAACGACACATCACCAAGACGACGATCATGTCACCATGTCGCCATACATAGTACTCGACCAAACGGCTGTCGCATTGCCGACCCTCCAATTGAGGACCTCGTGATTCCGCAACCGGCAAAAATCCAGATAAGACCTGGCAGGGAGTAGTCGAATTGTCACGATGATGCGATTGTGCCACAAGGCGACATGCGAAGCGCCGAAAGCGACCCGCTCACCCACCCTTGACAAGGCAGCCTAGGGAAGAGAGGGGCTGAGCCGGGGCCTTTTCTCCCTCG